TGGTTCTGAGCCATCTGGAGACTGGAAAACTGTGTTGGGATTCTGGAGGCACAAGCTATGCTTGATGGCATTAGTCAGTGCTGGCAATTGACTTGAAGTGCTCCAGCCATGAATGCAACACAGTCACGCTGCTGAGAAAGGGAAACAAAAATATGCCATGGTGCTAAAAATAACACTTCCAATAGGAAGTTCACAAAACATGGAACTAAATTGGAGCTGATTTTCTGAATGGCTGGAGGCAGCAACATCCACTCCATGGGGTTATCTTTGCACTTCACCCGTGCAGAGGCTGAGATCCTTTTGTGATCCCAACCATGCCAGGTGTAACACATGAGCTCACTCCCTACACCAAACTGCTAGCAGCAACCCCACAAACACCCAAAATGATAACCCACTGTGCAAATTCAAAAGCAGGCACCCAATTCAACCAAGAATCAAACCTAGAAGTGGATTTTTTTTTCAAGAAACAGCCTAGCAAGGAGATCTTTTGCTGGTTGTAACCAACACCAAAGGGGAAATGCCAAGTACAAGCTAAAAGTAGAGACTAGTGCAAGACACCCTTGGACCTCATGCCATGTTTTTCCACTTTCCTCTTCTAACACTGTAATCATGAACTGGTCCTTGGGTTTTTAGCCTTAAGTGAGCTCCAAATTGACAGGCAGCAAACACCTTCCTCTCCCCAGAGAAGAGGTGCAAATGAATTTGTTGCCAACCCACCCTCTGTAGGAGCCAGCAAGCTGCAACAGAATTCCAGGTGCTGATCCCATCACCCCAGTGAACATTTTTCCCCATGTCCCTCCACAACTTGCCTGATCGTGTCCCTTGCAAAGTACAAGAGTTCGATTTGCCCAAAAGCAATTTCTTGGTGGCATTTACCTACTAAAAAATGTTTGGGTACATCCAGAATGCTCATACTGCTTTTTCTTACAGCTATTCCTTTGTGTCTCCAGCCATCCATCAGGAACTGCAGGCCAGGCTCCCCCTGAGGTTGGCTTTCCAAATTATTTAATATCATCTGTGCTTCTACAGTATTTTTTCTCAGACTTCTGATTTTTACTGTGTTGGTCACCCTTTATGTTCAGTGAGTACTTTCCAATGGTTTATGTTTCTTGTAGAAAAATCTGAGACCACCACTTTCATTCCAGTCTCACAAAATTGGTAAATATCTTTATCACTAATAGAGCTGATTTATAACAAGATTTGGTTTTTTTATTCTGCCAACTCTTCCTTAAGCTGAGGACAACTTTGTTTTCCGAAAAATTCCAACATTTGTAAATTTTTATTAGAATCTAATCTAGAACCTAATTTTTATTTTATAAGAATAAAGTAATAAATAACGTTCTCTGGCAGTGACACTCAGTAAAAAATTTGTGTCTACCCACATGTTCCACTTCAACATGATTTAGCATCAACAAATTATTGTGTAGAAGATAATGGTTATCATACATGGAAAATGGTGTCTTAGTAAGAGTACAATTACTTGAATTCTGCTTTGAGTTCCAACATGAAACATGTCAAATAGTTCAATAAGGCACACATTGTCCAAATGACACACTCATATTACTAAAGAACTGACAAATTGAGTTAATTTTTCCTTTCTGTCAAAAGCTACAGGCAGATTGACACAGTCCCATGGAACACTCCAATTTCCACTAAACTGCATTTTCTAACAGACAACTGTTCCATTAAAAAAAAAAAAAATCAGCCAGCTCTAATGTGCCTGAAGTCTATGCAATTAAAAAAGTTTCTAAATATAGCTTTAATCATGGCCGACCCCAATCTTCTCAGAAGTCCTTGCCCTCCAGGCCATCCCAAAGGGATGGGAACATCCAGTAACAAGCCAAAAGTCTCATGACAGTGTATTGACCCCATTTGATATTTATCTCTAGCCATTTGTGAAAGCTTCCCATGAGCTTAATTAAGCTCATTCATTTCCACAAATTGTGGCATCCTAGAAAATATCAGACTTTCCTTTGATAGATGAGATTCAGATGTGGAAGTCTTATGGGAGGCAAGGTGTCTCTCAGGCTATTTGACAGAGCAGCTCGTGAAACAACTCCTCAAATCCCTCCCCTCCACAGGGTGGAAGTGGAATGCACGTAGGATTGTGCCCTGTCCAATGCGGACCCCAGCCAAGAGCCACTTGCTACAAACTGGGAAAAACCCCCCATGTTGTGGGGAACTGAACCCTTCAACTAGAGGCAAAATTGCAAAGCCACAAAACAATTTCTGTCCTTCAAAGTGGTATTTAGAAGGAAAACATCCTTGTTTTTCCTTGCATCAAGAAGCAAAGATTTGAGAAGCAAACAGGGTGAGTGTTTCTGCACTTGGCAGTTGGGTTTGGCTTTGAGTGTCATCCTTGCCTTTCCTACATGATATTTTTCCATTTGTGCTATATTTGTCTGCTCTTAGGGAATTTGTTTTGTTACACAAAGCCCATTTGAGGGGACACTGTAACAGCCTTCCACTGGGCAAAAGGCTGCTGCAAAAACTCACTTCTTATTCTACACAGAAAAGGCAAAATACCAGGTAAAGATAATCAAACATGAACAGAGGAAAGCAGGAAGACTCTTTATCATAATGGTCTTAAAGTGAAGCCAAACTTCTGTCTTGAATAACAGGTAAAATTGATCCTGCCTCAGGGCAAAATAATAAGCTAGCAAATCCCTCAGAGCTGCTTCAAGTTGGGATTTTTTTGTTGTTTGGTTGTGAGTTTTTTTAATTTAAGAAAATCCATGATAACTGCAGGCTGGAAAAAGTGTACCTTAGTCTCCTGTAAAAACCATTTCTTAATATCAAACCTAAGTAGAAAAGAAAATATTTCCCTAACGTAGAAAATCATTTTTTCAAAATGTTTTCATTTATTTCATACTGAAACATTAAATCACGAGGTATAACCTTAAACTTTGTGGATTATGTACTTTTCTCCCATAAGTGTTTTCCTATACAAAGCTGCTTCAATCCAGTATGCGTTCAGCTGAAGACCAGTGCTAATACAGCAGTATTTTCTTTTCCCGAGTGTATTTAAGCACTTTGTTTACTTTGGAATTTTGGTTCCTAATTCCTATGCCACCCTACTTGCTCCATTTACCTTTAACATATACAGAGTCCATACCAAGGAGTTCAGGCACTCCATGCAAAGGAACAGCATTTGTTCACCACACTGATTCCATCATTCCTAATTTTTCCAGCTCATTTAACACCTTTTCTACTGTTTTATGCATACTGAGCACCAGTCTCATCTCAGCTGTGCTACCACCTTTGCACTACACGTAACCTGGAAAACACATTTTCATCTTGGGGTCCTTCAGTTCATCCAACACCTCAAACAAAACTTTTTCCCACCCTTCTTGTCTGGATCATGAACTATCTTCTTACTGTAGCACAAATACAGATCTGTTTCCCCCAGTACATGGAAGTTCAGGATTTCCAGTGATTTTGTTCTTTTGAGGTTACAGTAAAATCTATTTACCAAGTTGTGTCCCTGAAACAGGACAACACAACAGTGGCACCAAAACCAAAATGATACCCATGTGAAGTCTCTTTTCCTAAAGGAGTTAAAAAGTCATTTGTAGCCAAAACAGCTTTTTTCTTTAATGTTCCTTTCTGGACACAATTTACCTGGAAAAGTGTAATGGACTTAAAGCACAGTGGTTTTATACTTTGCTTTTTTATTATTTGACCGAGACAAACTCCAAGCGGCAAGATAATACATTTCATGCAGATGAAGGTACTTGAGGAAGCTGCCTAAAAATAGTAATGTTTAATGTATATGGTGGCTAAAAATAGTCCTGGAGTCAGCAGGTATTGAACAACTACAGAAAATCTCAGTCATAAGGATCTGTTTACACAGATACTTCTGTCCCAAGACTAAAGAATATTTTTTAAAAACTCAATCACCACACAAAACCCATCTGGTTGGAGGTTTTGTTTTTGTTTGTTTGGTTTTTTTGGTTTTTTTTTCCCAGCTACTAATATATCAGGACACAATGCAGGTGCAACAGATAAAACCACTAGTGAAGGGGAGGGTAGAGCAAGTGAAGCAAATTTGCTGCTCCATATCTTGGCCCTACACCTACAAAAACAAACGGCTTGTGGACAGCTCACCTCAGGTCAGCAAAGCTTCCACTATTAAGTAGTTCCAGCTGGTAGGGATTTCCCAATTCCCCACTTACAGGAGCCTCTCAAATTACTTGTTCAAATTCACGCAGATCTGGGATTTCAGATACAGATTTTAGAGCAGCAACCAAAAAATATTGTACTGTAACACCAAAAAAATCCTAACTTGAGCTGTAAGTGAAATTCCAACAACATCTCCAGAAAACTACATGCTTCCCATATGAAGCTTTCAGGTACAAGATACACTCAAAGCATAGTCAAAATCTGAAGAAAAGCGAGAGCCAACCTTATTCTGTCAACACTGACCCATTTTGTTCAGGTCTAACAGCTCAAAAAGCTACAAATTTGGTGCAACCTGGATTGTAAAACTGTAACACTCCTCAATTACTTTTCGTTGGCCAGACAGGCAAACCTGTCATTTGACAACACATCACGATCCAAGAGAGTAAACTTTATCACTCAGGGGTCATGAGAAAATGGCCACAGGTACAGCTTGCTAACCTTCCCTAGGTAATTTTTCACAGTTATCATCCAAAAAGCGTAAAAGCATAAAAGCCATGTTATCTTGGAGCTGTGTTTACTGTAACGTGGGTGAGATTCTCTATAAAACCACTTACTAAGTAACTGTTGTGTGTTCTCCAACACAGTCGAATCAGTAAAACATCTTCTTGACAGTGTGTCAGGAACAAGACACCTCTCCTCCCAGAGACCAACACATTATTTATCATTCTGCTCTGACTTACCTTTGCTTCCCACCCAGCACTAGCTCCAAAAGCACTTCCCTGCCGTTTCTTAATACAATATTTGAAGACAAAGCTAAGCCAAGAGTCCCAGAACTTGGTTCACATTTTCCCAAGCATTCACTGGAGTTTTGCTCTTACCTGTAAGCAGATGCTTGATCACAAAATTTTCACTTATGTTTATCTTCTCTAATCAATTAAGCAGGCTCTGTGAAGGAGTTTGAAAAATAAATCAATTAACTTCTCAATTCTCCTAATAAAGTGTTGTCTTCATAAAGTTTTGGACTACATTCTTTACAGGAACTAACTCAAAGACAGATTTCAGGGCTTCCTGGATTATCCTCTCAAGGATTTTGGGTTTTTTCCATCCCCTTTAAATAAAATCAAAGCCTACAGCACAATGGTTTCAAATGAAGGATGTCCAGCAACCCACGTGGAAATTCACAGCCAAATTAACATGCAAATCTTGACACTTTTGATACCAAATTTGAACTCTGTACAGAATCAAGTTCTAATTTAGTATTGAAACCTCTCATGCTGATTCTTACTTAAACTGAAGTCGGTTTACAGCTGAGAAAAGTTAACCCTGGTACTCCAAAGAGGTATTAGGAACCACGGTTGATGCTTCTTTTGGAAGTGTTTAAAAGCTGAAAAGAGCCTTAACCAGTTCATCACTGGCTGAAGTTAAAACAGGAAAGTGTTGGAGTGGTGTGCATTCAGTCTCTTTTAGACCTGGACAGACCCAGACCTCATTAACATTATTAAAGGAATCATAATTGTGTCCCTCATGTGGATCAGCCAGAGCAGCGTTAACGTGGGGAACAATTGTCATCCTGACACAGCCTCACTTTGCAAAACCAAGTTCTCACAAATCCATTTTTAAACTAGAGTTGGGCAGGTTTTGTCTCTAATTGAACCATTTTAGTGGTTCATTTAGAAAGTCCTTCAATTATTTATTTCATGTCCACCCAAGTTGGTTCCTCTCGGGAATTTCAATCCCTGCATTTATGCAACACCTCGTTGCTGTTACACCATTCTTAGTGCTGTGAACTAGCAGAACTTTTAGTTAATTTTCAGGTTCCTGATCACCAATTTTCTGCTGGGGTTTTTGTTTGGTTGGATTTTTCTTCCCTAGCAATTTGAGGAATGTTAGGAGGAATATAAATATTTCCTTGTGTAGTAATAATACAATCAAAATAACTTTGATTGCTTGAACTTATCCTTGCTAGCAGAACTCCAGGATTTAGAACTTACTCCATGCTATTCTACAAATTATTATTCCAGGCTGTTTATATGGCCCTTTACCCTCATAGCTTGTGGCCTCCTTTACTTGATACCTCCCTACAGTCACTGCAAGCTCCTTCCCTCCTCTGCATTTTGGAACTGGGTCTGACTTGCAACTGCAAGTCTTTTGTTTGAGAATACTATCATTTATTCTCACAAACACATTTTTGGGGTAGCCTACAAGTAATCCATCACCTGGATTTCTACTTCATGGCATGTGAAGATCATTTATAGTTGTTTCAGGGTTTTTAATAGCTACGTATCTTACACTCCCTCACACCTGCACAAACATACTAATAAACAAAACCACAGCATTTTGTCTTCCAAAAGGACACCAATAATAAATTGCTAATAAAAAAGTAATAGTAATAATGTATCATTTATCTGAAGAGACATAACTTGCAGTGGAGTAAAACCATGTCCAAAGCACACATCTGGGCGTTATGTGAGTCAAAGCAGAGTGGCAATCTGCATTTTTAAATCCTGCTGTAGTTTACCCTCAGGAGCTGCACTTGGTACAAAGTAGTACAAAATAGGGTGAAACAGAAGAGTTACACACAGAGCAATCCTAAAACTGACCACAGTAGACATAAGGGAAGAACATCTTTGCAGGCACAATCCCAAAAAAACATATATTCAGTCACTTAATCAAGGAGCAGATTGACCATCTTGCCAGTTTTCTGTTCACTTTTTAACTTTTTCATTGCGTTGTTTTGCAGAGTGGATTAATTGAAATTCTTTGGTAATGTTTCATTTTTGAGTTGATGCTGAGTCCACAGATTTCTTCCTTACACTCACAACTGCTTTTCTGTCAGAGCTTTGTTCTGTACCTCCAGCTCACCATTTCAACTTAATCTTTTCCAAATACCCGGGTCCCTGCGAGAGGATGCCTACATTAGCAGTTTAAAGCGTAACAAACTCGAGTATTTGGTGCAGTTAACTCCAAATTAACCTCCCACCCTGGCTAAGCAGAGATGCCAGGAGCTCAGAATCAGGTGCTTGGGGCCACTGTTTTTCTTCCTTTGCCAGGAGAAAACTGTCAGAGTAAACACTGCCTGCTCCTGTGCAGCTCAGTGATTGCTTATAAACCAGAGCCAGGAGTATCTGGCACTGCCTTGCACCCTCTTCCCTCAAGTACAAAGGACTGCAGGAGGTGAAGGGCAGCACAAAGATCATTGAAATTTTCTGTTTCTTTTAAAACTGAACTATTTTATGGCCCATTCTTGAAATACATACTTTTAATCTCCTTATTGTGCTAATGTTTTCTCATTCTACCTCTTAGCATGAAAAACATCTTTATCCCAATCCTAACACTCCACTACATTTAAATTAGATGCTGAAGTGTGAAAAACACAATCTTGGTGGAAAAGTAGCATCTTTTTTTAAATACAGTGACTAAAATATTCTATAAACTTAGGGAAAAAATAATTTTTATTTGTATTATCTAGATAAACTTAATTACAAAGAACATTATTCCTTAGGAAAGAGAGGAAAAGAATATCTTCAGATGTGACTTTTTTATATATTTGCTTTCTTCTAGTTGATCTAGAATATTAAGGGCACAGCATATTAATTACCATTTACATAAAGACTCCACCTAATCATAAGGATCATAACACTAGAGTAAATAAAACCACAAGAAATACCTAAGAGCAGAGTAAAATTTTGTTACAGACAGGAATTATCAGCACCAGTTTGAACCTGCTTATTAACAGGTTTAATCCATAAATGCTCAGGCAAACTTAGAAGTAAATATCTTTGATAACATCTCTGAACACAGAAGTTTAAAACCAAAACCATTCTCTATTTGCACAGTCAGTCCTGGATTTGCTTTTGTTTCCATTAGCAAGGGCTACCGAGGGCATCAGTAACTTCTCAGTTTCCAGAGCTACTTCCAGGTAAGTTATTCACTAGGATTTGCCCTTTCAAGAGATTTTTAGAAGAATACACAATTTATTTAACTCTTACTTGGCAACTCTGTGCATGCCAGAACACAGATACAGAGAATTATCCTCTGAGAGTTAAATGACAATGGGAGGGGAGATGTATTTCTGGACACAGAGCATGTGTAACTGCAGTGGGCATTTTCATCAATTAACAAAAGCTTTGGGTAAACCTCAGGTGAAATAGATAAAACCTCTGTCCACAAAGTAAGGGATTAAATTAGTCTGCAAATCACTTCTGATATTTAATATTCCGTCTGTTATATTTGCTTTGGCTAAAGACTTTCAGCTTGAGCAATTTCTACTCTTCCTAAATGACAGGTCTAACTATACACTTATTTTATGACTTATTTTTCATTTTTCTGAAAAAGCAAGAATGCCCCCTTTTGACAATTCCATATATTTCCCCTATGAGGCCAGGAGAGGGAGTAGTAGCTTGTATTTTTCCCCAGGAAAATCAACACTCCGGACACCAAGTATTGTATTCAGTTCCCTGCAGACAACGATCTCTTGTCTTTGTTCATTATTTTTTACCAAGATCACAAAGAGATTTTTTTTTGGGGGGGGTGAGGGGGACAGACAAAATTCACTTTTAGAGTAGAACACCTGCCAGAAGGAAGTTTCAGATGAGACCTACACTCTGTGAAAGCTAAATCTCTTACACTTTGATGGATGGAAAGCTCTGCAGGTGTCTGCACAGGTTAATCTGTGCAAGCTCTCTGCTCTCTTGCCCTGCTGAAGGTACAGCACAAATCCAGATCACCTGCAATCCTGTAACTGAGCAGAGGCTGCCCTAAGTGTGATATTAAGGTCAATTAAAAATAGACCCTGCTATTCTTCTGCCTCTAGTTATACAAATTCTAACTAAAAAAACCCACAAAAATACATATTTCTCTAGATTCCCATCGAAAATCTCAAGGCTTTTGTACTGATGGTGACAGAAGGCAAAGATTGTTTGAAAGGACTTTAGCTTCAAGTTCACCTGCAATGAAACCTGAAATATGAATTGAAATTCTTCCAAGACCCTGAAAAATTCACCATCTGATCTTAAACAATTAAAATTCCAGTATTAGGAAGTCAGTCTGAGCTCACTAGACAGACAGTGGCAGATGACGTGGTCTTCCAAAAGATGACTCAGAGGAGGAAGAAAAAAACCCCAAAAAATGAAAAACTTACTTGTGTATTTTCCAGCTCTTCCAGAGGACTGTTATTTCAGCCTGAAAAACAAAAGGGAAAAAGCCCACAAATGAAATCATACAATGTATCAAGCAAGGCATTTCCAAGAGAAACAAATAACAGGTAGAAGGCACCAGGCAGGTCCCAGGTTAGGGTTTCTCCTGGCCAGCAGACCTGGAAGCAGCATGGAATGATGTGGAGGGAAATCTCAGGTCAAATCTGGGAGAAAAAAAATTTTACCTGACCCAATAAGAAGTTTTAAAAAAATAAAAACAAAGTTAACTTACAGCTGTCAAAGAATGAATATAAAAAATCCTGCTGTACTCCTGAAAAATAGAAGTGTCTTTCTCTCATGAAAGAATGGATCTTTCTGCATCAGTAAAAACTAATTTGACTGATTTCAAATTCCAGGTTTCACACGTTGGTGAAGTTTCCTCTGACAGCACTGAGCTGCTGGGTTTAAAGCCCTTACTGGGGTCACTATGGCTTGTTACAGTCCAGCTACCATTTTTTCCATTATTTCCATACTGCAAGGATATTTAGCCACATATCTCCCATTAAAGCTAAATCATCTTAAATAAAAGAATCCTTCTGCATCTAACCACCCCTGCAGCTCCTTGAGAAATTTTAGGAAATTCCATTCATGTTATATTCTCTTTGGTGAAGCAGTGGAGAGAGGAATGCCCATTTTCAAGCAATATTGCTCACAAGCTAAGTTTGGCATTGGATCAGTGCCATTCACCAACAGCAGGGGCTTTACCTATGTAAAAAATGCAGTTTTCTGCTTGAGGTGGCTGCAATTAAACCATCAAGTTTGGTTATGCATGCAGATTTTCTCCAGCCCATCCTTTTTCAGTAACAAGATCTACAAAATCAGCAACATGAAAATAGGAAACTGTTTGTAAAGCATGGTATTGAATATACTGTCTAGGAACAATCACTCTAAAAACCTTGTGCCTTGTCACTCTATTTACTTCAGTGTGATATAACCTAGCACATACTCAATTTTTTAAACTCTGTTTTGCTCCTTGGATTCCTTCACAAACATTCTGAAGCATGTTACCTTCAGGAGGGAGTCCTCCAAAATAAAGATCCCCTTACAACAAAAGCACCATCAAGGAATTGCTCCATCTGTTGCTTTTCCTTCCCATTTGACAACAGCTAAAGGCACAGCAACAAGTTTTCTACCAGAATTGGAAGAATTCTGGTAGTTCAGGTTCAGGATGTACTCCTTCCACCTGAATTTGGATCCATATCAAAGTCTGTTCAAATCTAAGTAGGGTGCTCACTTTCTTAGTGACTGGCACACTTATCTTTAAAGTTACAGATTTAAAGTAGCTTTTCATCTTCCTGTATTACACAGATTTTTTTACTTGTCTCCATAGCAGTAAGTATTGTTTCCACTGCTGTTAAGTGTTACCAAAAGTTTTGTTTTCTTCTTTAAGTGGAAAAGAAGTACAGTTGGGTTTTATTCCAATTTTATAAAACAGGGCAGAGAGAATAATTCTCTGGAAGATTCAGAAAATTATTTTACATTGCTTCAGCCTTTTCCTCTCAACTCCAAGGACATTCACCACTACACTCCTCTGACCACCTTTTTCATTATTAAGCAGCCTCATAAGGATATTACTCTGATTTAGAGAATGTTTTACTGGAAGCAAGTTCCAAAGAGCCTCTTTCCTACCACATTCAATGTGTTAAGCATTCACTATCAGCTCTGGGATTTACTGAGAACTCAGCAAAGTCTGTTCTCATTCTCCATCAAAGATTAGAAAATTTAGGTGTTTCTATAGTTACAAAGAACTAGTTTCTGGAAAGCCCTTTATCAAGAATGAACTCTGCCTCACTGAAATGAGATTCTCCTTACTGTTATTTTAAAAATTCTCAAGATCACCTAGCCAGTATTAAAGGGATTCCACTAGTGGCTATGCAACCAGCTTTTGCTACGCTCGGGTTCTCTCCCAGGAAACTGAAGGCTTTTATCTGTTGCCAGCTAAGAAATATCCACTAGACTGAAAATCCACTGTATACTTTTTGGAAAGCTGCAGGGCTGGAGGTAAAAGCTGAACAGCACTGAGGTTTCTTTTCTAATCTGTTTCAAGTTCTGCACTCTTGGATGCTGTTAATTATAGTACAGTATGAAACTAGCAATATTAAAACCTATTTATTCTCAGTCTTAGTAGTTGAAGGTAATTAATACTTTTATCTTCCTACGTGCTTCATTGATGGGGCACATGAAAGGATAAATGAAATGAATCTACATGTAGTTTAAAGAAAAAAAAAATCAATTTATAAAGTTACAGTCCCAGGAAAGAGGCAGGGCAGTCTATGCGTGTCTCTTGCTTAGTGAAAAACACAGATTTCTACACAAGTGAAAATAACCATCAAGATGCTGAGTAACAGCAGGGTAACAGCTCCAGATGTGTGTCTGTTACCACTTTAGACCCAGCCTTTAGCAGAGACCTTCACCCAGAATTTACATTCTGCCTCCCACTATTACAAGATACCAAGATTTACACAGTGTAGTTACAAATCAAGTATTTGGCAAGTAGCTCCTTCCACAGCCATGACTAACTAGGGGTGGAGAACACGTACCACACAAACACCTGAATGCCTCAACCCTTTATTTATGCCTCAAAAAACTAATTTTACTTCCTGATTTTTGCCTCAGGAATTTGTGGGCATTGAAGGAAATCCTAAAGCAAAACCAGACAAGTCATAGACAGAGTTGCACTCATGAGGATGCCACGTTGAGGATGATTCTCACACAGCAAGATTGCTGGGATTTCATTGCTAGGCACTCTGAGCTTCAGAGCTCAGCCTTTCCCTTATCATGCTCCTCACTCACAGCAGAGTCCACTTCACACACTGTGAAACACACAGAAGGGTCATACACCAAATAAAAACCCCTGCAGAAGCCTTAAGTTTCTACTTAGGACGTTGATTCCAAAAAGTGCAGCTTTAACAGCAGCTCACTGCTTTCTAGAAACATCTCAACTAATTGTATTTATCCAGGCACAGATCATATCCAGTACTTTTATCCACATGCATTACACAACAGCACACAAATATTAAGAACCTGCTGGTCATCTGCTGGGGAAGGAACCAGCAGCTTAACCAAAAGGATAGTCCACATCTGTGCAAGTATCTGGAAAATTCACAAACACATGAAACCAGTTGTTCCCTCCACTTTTCCAAAGTTGTGATGGAACATTTGTTCCCCCTGCCAAGTTTGCAGCAATCAACATGACACACTATTTCTGTGGCTATGTTGATGTGACTAAAATGATTTTATTTATCAAGATGTGTCTCAATTTTAGCTGTGTAATGAATTCTTAGCTTTAGTTTCCTGTAACACCTCTGCAAACAGCCAGCACATTACAAAGATTAAAGTGTGACTCCAAGATCACACTTGTCCCTGTTTTCACTTTGTGGTAAAATAGTCCCAAAGTTTGGAAGATGAGAGCATAAGTAAAAGCAACCTTGCACAAGTTAGCATATTTCTTAAATACCTGGAATAACTAAATACTCCTGTGCAAAATAGCAAACACCTAGAGATTTCTACTTAAAGAGTGAACTCAGCCATCCCAGAAAGGAGTCACTGTACCTGGCTAACATCAATGAAATAAGGGCTCCCCAGGGAAAACAGAGTGCTTCAAAGATGGAAAACTTCTCTGGCAACAAATTCCTAGTAAATTAATTTTCAATAATCTCAGAAAACAATAATCCCGTGTATCTGAAGTCTTTACAGCAATCTTTCCTGTGAACAACTCCCCTTTATTCCACTGCTTCAAACAGCAAGCAAAAAAAGGGGAAACTTTCAGACTAAAGTGAAATTCGTTAATAGAAAAAGGACCAAATACACATTATACAGGAGAAACCTGGCAGATGAAAGTACAATAAAGACAGTGTGGAGGCTTATTTGCACAATTGCCATTTTCTTCTTTTGGTACAGCATAAAGAAAACCAAAACCAGGAGTAATTTACATTTATCCCAAGCAGGAACCCTTTGTATTTTACCAGAGCCAATGCACCCAAGAATGAGCCCTGTAGTCAGGAGCTCTTCACCCACACACTGGAACACCCATCCCAGCACTGTATTCCTGAGGCAGACCTTGGACTGCCTCATTTAAAAGCAGTTGTCACGAACATCACGCACATCTAATCCTGTTCACTTCCTTGTCTCTTGCTTTCTATTCTCTCACTCAATTTTTACCTGTAGCTAAGACAATACATAATACACTGAAAATTTTAAAATTTAAAATTTTTTAATTAGTTAATTTTTTTAATTGAACTTATCAGGAAATACTTGCATATTTGTATGCACTATTACTTTTGTTCTGTTTGCCAGTCATAAAGGCAGAAGTAATTCAATGTGTATATCCGCCTGTACACAGACAGATGGGCAAGAAGTCCTAAAGGATATGCACATAAATACATAATTAAAGTAACTTGGCTTTATAATACTCCTCTTGCTTTTTAATAATTTCTTAGCCCATTACTTGTCACTCTCCTTTGCTTCATCTCCTTTTTCAGTTAACTTTTGTTTATTTAAAGACTTTTAAGAAAGCATCACTTCCATGCTTACCTTGCACATAAATTCCCTGACTAAACAACTGTTCAAAAATAAGCTATTATCAATTGTCTATGGTTTACCTCATCAGCTACAACAAAGAAAGCCTGTGAAAAATGGACCAGACTGGATACAAGTGCCAAAATCACAAAATCCTCTAAAAGAAGCTGAGCCCTACTTATGCCTTCTTCTGTTTCTGCATGAAGTTGAACAGAACACCACCACACAAACAGGTGAGGGGGAAAAGCCCTTCAACAGAGTTTCCCTGCAAGGTAAATGGATATGAGAATTTCTCCCCACTCGCACATGCAATTGAGGTGTTACTGTAATTATCAGTATCCATTCCCCTCTTTAAAGTTTCCCTGCAAGCAGCAATCAGAATTATATACGATCTCTGCATGAAACTAATGAATTCATGACAAAGAAGACTCCTCAACATGATAAGGGATGGTGTATCAGGGGTATTAGCATCAGGCTTTAATGCTCAAAAACAGGCTCACAGCCACGTTCACACTATAATGGAACTGGAACAGTACCAGTGTCACACACCAGCAGCTGTCCAAGGACTTGTGTCCCCATCAGAGGAGCAAAGAAAAATGTAATGCAAAGATTAAACAGGTTTGTTCTCTTCCTAGATCAAGAATATAAAGCAGTACAGTTGTCTGCTCTCCGTGTAAAGCTTTTCATAAAGATATTCATCTGTAGAAACTTCTGTTCAGGTCAGAGAAAATACTTGTTCAACAATAACAAGATACACCTCTTCAGTACCCCTGTAAAACAAATATTACCTGCAAAATTAAGAGAGTTTGCTGAAGAAAAAACTACAAGAGCCATATCCTGTTAAATTCAGGCAATACCTTCCTGGCAACTATTTCTGATCCAGGAGATTTTCTGAACCTATACCACCACACAAGAGTTTTTTCTTCTTCAGGTGCTGCTGCAGAGATCACTGTTTTTGTTATAAAGGGGTACTCTTAAATTACAAGTGCAATTTTCATTCCATTTTCCTCCCCAAATGGAAGCACATTTAAGGAAAACTGAAAGGGCAAGACATTTTATGCACATAGTAGCTTTGGAGGGTACCAGAGCTCAAATAAAATCTTTACAGAACCACAACACCCAGGTTCTCTATGGGACATGCGAACACTTCACCACACAAGGTTTCCCCCAAGAGTGAAACCCCAAGAAACTGAAGAAAGCTACAATTCCCTATGCCAAATGCTATCATCCTTAGACCTTATTAAGCAGATCTTTTGCTCATGCTTAAGCATCACAGGTTCCATCCACACTTCCCCATAAATGGATATCCCAAACACAGTCCCCACAACTGATGCATGCTGGTGGAAAAAAAAAAAAAAAAAGACTGTTTCATGGGCAAATATGAGTGAAGAAGAAAGGGAGATGGTGGATTTTGACTTGGTGGCAACAAATACACAGCTTAGGAAACAGCTTGAAAAGCAAAAAATCCTGAACACTCCCTGCTATCATTTTAGCAGTTCCCAGACATTTAAAGCTGCACCCCACTATCAGATGGCAGAACAGCAGCATCCTTTGGATGACTGGCTCAGGTAATCAAAGCAGAAAACAGCCAGAAATAATACTGCCAAGTGATTAGAAGAGAACTGGTTGTAAATTTGAACACCCTTTTGATTCATTAATCTCCAACAGCTAAAGACAAACCTAAAGCGAAATTACGGTGATTGTAAACCGAGCACTCCTGTCCTGTGGCTATCTTTCGGCCTGCTGAGAGAGAATGAGCTGATCAAAGAGAGACACTTGAGTGAGATTAGTGCTGCTTGAGCGAGCTCACAGTTAGCTGCCATTAACTAACCTGTTTTAGGAGCGGCTAACTCCGGCATTAATCTCTGCTGCAATTGGGAGTGACCCGTCCATCTCCTGGTGACAATCGCACCTGCCCCTAGAGCCCCTGCAGGTCCGGCGAAGCCTCTGCTCCTGATGGACAGGGAAGGGCGCTGCGAATTCCACATCAAGGGCACCAGCATTCAAAACTTCCCTGGGAAAGCAAAGCAGAGGTTCCATTTCGCTGGCTCATCACCAGGGGCACGTGGAAATCCTAACAGGAATCCCATATTCAGGAATCCCAACCTTTAGGAAAAGCCAGCCTGGAAGGACAAGCAGCACTGGGACAGTACAGTCCCAAAGGGATGCCCTCCAAGGCAGGCTTACTCTCTCAGCAGCAGCTAGGACTGCCTTAAAAATGTTTTCTGCATTTACAATTCTCAGCAGCTTGTAAGGTTACAACTCTACAGAATTACAGCACCTCGGTAAATTGATGAAATTGAAAAATATAGGGGAAAAAACCCCAAATCCACAACAAAGTACTCAAATCCTTCAGCCACCACTTTTTAAAATCCATCCAAGATCTGTCTTCAGTAACCACACCTTCTGCTGTTCCAGTGTTATCTCTCCACATAGATCTTCCACGTGATAGATTAGTGAATCCTGGGAACATTTATTACAAAATGCAGCTTTCCAGAACTGAATTTCATATTTTAGCTGATATTCATCAGAGCCTAAATGTATATATACAAATTATTGCTGACAAAGATCTCTCTAGTGAAATATAGCGCATTACACAGATAAGATTCTCTGCACAAATACAAAGTTTGAATAAACTATTTTCTTTTCTGATAAATTTCTGTGATGTGGACAATATTTTAATACCACACAAATATTTTCTCTGCAGCAGTCTCTCTCTCAGGCATATTTCACATGTTGAAGCAGAGAGTCAGGTGCAGTAGCTGGTACATAACTTTCCATGCATAAACCCCAAATTTCTTCAGAGATACCTTAAAAAAAAATCTGTTTAGGCTCATTCATGTTTAATCATTAAAATCTTACAGCATTTAAATGTGATAATCACAAAGCACTTTAAAAACTGTTTTTCTCTCTCCCAAATGAGCTAGTTACCTGTTACTATTTTATTTGATAAAGAGGGAAAACCAAACAAAGTTGCCACTTCCCACTGAAAAGGGACAGGCATTTACAAGCAAAATTCCCTATGGAGTACAGGGTGGCACCTGAATAGACCCAAGTGGTAAACGGGTAAAAAACAACAACAGCCAGATGATAAGGAATATACAGACAACTTCTTTTGTCCAGGAATAAGTAGGCTGTCAAACTCCACAAGTCTCTCATACACGTGGTCTCCCACAAGTGCTTTATAAACCACATCAGACCAACATCATTAATGCCACAGATTAGATTAAAATAACATATAACTCGATTAAAATAACATCTACGCACTCTGACACGTGAAAATGTACAGCCCAGGTGTTTATAAAGCACTTCTCCATAATTCAGTAATAGCCTCTAACAGATTGAAAGCACTCAGACATCACCTCATTTTTACTTTAGAGAAGAATATTGACACCTTGACAATGCAGCAGCAATTTAAAAACTAAAACAAACCCAAACATCCCCCCCACTTCACATCACTCTCAAGCAAATGCTATCTGCATGACATAGGCACCCACCAAGAAAGAACCCCAGCTACAACATTTAATTAGTTTTTAGCCATTTCTACAACCCAGGTGCTCCACAAAAGTCAACACAACCAGCAGAGGAAAGCACTACCTTGAAACAGCCTGTCCTCTAACTCTGTACACTCTGGAACAGGACAGGGTTTAGGCACTGCTACAGGTAAAACTGTAGCAGTTCTGTGGGCAGAAAACACGGATTATATTACATACAAATAACTAATGCTAAACTAAATAAATGGAAGACAACAGGAGACTCTTATTTCCTGTAAAAAAAAAACAAAAACCCAAACCAAAACCACTCACAGAAGAGGTGGTCCAGCCAGCTCATATAACACTGGAAACTAAAATTCATAAACTTCCTGACAATAAAAACCCTATTTAATTGCTTTTCTCAGCACCGTCCCTTTTCCAGAAAAATCATTTTACGTGTGTAGCCAAGTTCCAATCACCCTAAGAGCTCACCCAACTATTCTACTCCAACTTTAACACTTTCTGTTTCTCAAACACCTCCTGCCTTTTCTCTTTATCAGCTGAGCATTGAAGATGGCTAAGCCTGATTAGTCTTCACTTCCATTTAATATTAGCGTGGCACCTGAAGAAAAACTTCTGTGCTTGATGAGCTGCTAATTTTTTTCCTTAATGTTCCAGGTGATTTAAAGGAAAGTATCACTTCTCCGTTAAAAACCTCCCATCACATCTGTGGGTAAGCAAAGCTCCTACTGAGGTACTAAAGCATGCAGCAGAAACAGGCTTCAGGTTTAAAAAAATTAAATTTGGGTAATTGGCCTTGTAAATTCAGGAAAAATAAAAACAGGTGTTTTCCTCGCACTACGTAGGGATATGAACCTGAGAGAAAAGAAAAAAAAAACAACCAGCATACAAGTTTTCCTGATTGTAGGATCACAGTATTGTTGTGAGAACCATAAAATATTAACGAATACCCTAATGGATTTCTGAGAATTAAAAGTTCTTGGCTAGAGGTTCAACAAAAGCTCTCAATAAATTTGCTTGATTTTTTTTTTCTTCACCACTATAACTCCTTGCAGAAGCATCAATCATATCAAAGTCTGAAATGTTAGCACGAATACTACCATGCAAATGTTCAATAGATAAAATAATTTTCAACTCCCCACTAAGTTGAGTAGGGTAGGTAAGACAATCCTGCTGAAGCTACATTTGTTTTGTTAATTTATTAAAACTTCAGGACAAAAGTTAAGTTTGTGTTTCTTCAAAGCATCTTGCAAGATTTTTTTTTACCTCAAAAAAGACATTAAAGACAACTCAGAAAAGTACAGAAATCGTGCTAATCTCAGAGAAAAGCTGTGATGTGACAACACATTGGGGCAACAGGAAGCAATTTTTTTTTTTCAAATATCTACTCAACTTTACAGAAATATTATGCTTTTGATTTTTTTAACTTTTTGCAGACTTGAATGCGAGTGGGGAATTGTCATCTAAATGCCATATTCTCGGGGTAGTTTGGCTGATTTAATACTCAGTTTGGCTGATTTAATACTCAATTTGTAACACGCTGTGTTGGCCCAAAATTATTATAATTGTGACCTGAGCGGACCTTCCAGGAAAGATGAGGCAAGGCTGTTTACAGTGACAGAAGGGAGAATGGCTTCTGACTGAAAGAGGGAAGGTTTTGATTAAGGAAAAAAAATCTTTCCTGGGAGGGTGGTGAGGGACGGGAGAGGCTGTGGCTACCCCTGGATCCCTGGAAGTGCCCAAGGGCTTGGAGCACGCCGGGATAATGGGAAGCATCCCTGTCCGTGGCAGGGGTGGAAATGGATGCTCTTCAAGGTGCCTTCCAACCCAAACCACTCCGTGTTTCTGTGATAATTGTGTGTGATCCCGACCACCTTGTGGTGGGTACTCAAAGCTATTTGCTGTCATTGGCAATGAGTGTTAAATCCTCAAAGCTATTTGCTGTCATTGGCAATGAGTGTTAAATCCTCAAAGCTATTTGCTGCCATTAGCAATGCGCGTTAAATCCTCCCGATACCAGCTGCAGCCAAGGGACGCTGGGCTTGCACTTACTGGGTGAGAATAAACTCATACAAGAGCGATTCCTGGGGGTTTTTTTCACCCGTCCTCTCTGGAAGGTGACGTCGGGAAGCTGTCAGAGAGCGATTCCCGTACTTTTTTACCCCTCCTTTGTGGAAGGGAGTGTGAGGAGGGGAGCACCCTGTGTGAGGAGGGGAGCACCCTTTGTGAGGGAGGGAGGGTGCGACGCGGGGCTGCGGGCAACTAGCCCGGCCTCGGCGGGTCTGCCAGCGCCACGGGGAAGGAATATCCTCCTCGGGGAAGGAACATCGCCCACGGGGAAGGAACACCGTCCCCAAAAGTGCTCAGGGACCCCGCTGCAGCCGTGAGGGGACACCGCCCTGCGCAGCCGCCAGGGGGCGCCGCGCGGGCGGGCCCCTGCCCTGCCCTGCCCTGCCCTGCCCTGCCCTGAGGGGACAGCGCCGGGCCGCGGCGGGCGGGGGGACACCCGCCGGAGCCGCCCCGCCAGGGGCCCCGGCGGGCCGCGGGGGCCGGAGCCGCCCTCGCCCGAGGGGCAGGCATACCTCGGTTGAAATAAATGGTGGAGTGCGGGTGGCGGGGCTGCCTCGCCCGGGTCTCACCGCGTGTGGCGGCGACGCCGCCGTCGCCAAGCAACGGCAATGGCCGGCGAGGAACGGCGGTAACGGGGCTGCGCCTTGCTCTGGGGCTGCGCGTCGTGCGGAGCCCGGCGGAGGAGAGCAGTGACTGCCCGAGGCCGGGCACGGGCGCCGGCAGCCCTGAGCTGGCAGCAGCCGCCCGCGGGCTCCGCGCAGCATGAGCTGGTGCGGCAGCGGTGAAGGGTGGAGTTGGGCTCCCTTCGTGGAAGGTCCCAGGTGGTGGGGATTTTCCTGATTCCTTGTTTTCCCTGCGTTCTGCTGTTGGTTCTGGTGGTTCTGCCCCGGGCCTGTGCCCCGCAGCGTGGCTCACCCTCCGCCATTGGTGTGTGGAGGAGATGCGCCCGGAGGCTCTGGGCGGCTAAAAATAAGGGGCAAAACCCAGAATAAATCCGTTTAGGATGGCTTTTTTGTGTAAAAGTGCGGTTTACCAGATCAGGCACCTGCTTTGGAGGTTTTTGCTGTGGTGCGCGGGTTTTAACAAGGTTTGGCAAAATATTGAAGTGCAACAGGATTCTGGTTTAAACAGAAGGCTGGTGGGTGAATAGGTGTCGTACCACTTGTGTTAGGATCCATAAAATCCCTTAATTATGTGCTTGAGAGGGCAAAGTAGGACTTCATTTATTTGTTATTCCAAAAGGGGCAACAAATTCTTTAAAAGTTTCACTCAGTGAAACTTCCCAGGTGCTGCTTCCCTCGCCTCTTAAGTTATGAGGTCAAACTATCAGTAATGTGTGTAAGCAACTGAAAAATATCTGCTGTTGACTAGAGGAATTTTATATGAATAATATTTAATTAAAATAAACATATTTGATGCTAATAATATTAGGTTTATCTAATTGATACTGTGCTTTACGTCAGTCTCCAGTTGTATTTATCTGTAGGCAGAATGAGGCAATGAAAGGCAGGTGGTGCCTTTTTGTACCTTGGAAACTTCTTAAATGCTGGTGTAGTCTAAAGCCTGCCCTTGTTCTGAGCAAACTTTATGAAGTGCAAGTCGTACAATGCAAGCAATGCATAAAACATGGAAGCAGTTGCTGCTGTAGGTGTTTTAATTTAGTTGTAATGCACAGCAATTAAGTGCAGGCTTTCCTCCTGCATTTGTTATGAAAATGATATCATAGGAAGGAAAATACTCATTATGGATATTTTTATTTATGAAGTGGAAATTGCCAATGTCTATAAACAAGGTAAATTAGGTCAAGGCCTAGTTAGGCTTGTAAATAAACAGCTTTTCTGACTGGGGACACCAGCTGATAGCACTGCAGCCCTAATACCTGCCCCCCCAGCTTTTTGGGAAGCACAGAGAGGAAAGTTTGAAAAACAGGCTTGGAGAGAGGAAATAGGGGGAAAACCCCTATATGACTAGGAGCTCTGTGTGTAACTGCATAAGGATTCTTAAAGAGAGGGAAATCTCTTTAAGAGAGGGAGTAAAGACAACGATTAGAAATAAGAAGCTGTGCAATAACCTCTTTTTAAAAACCAAGTGGTGAAGCTTGCCTTTGAGCATTCCCTAATTTTGTTCCAGCCAGAAAGGGGTCAGGTACCCTAAATAAGTATAAATATCTCTTGCCTAATCCAGCTGATCTTTGAAGATGCTCATATATGAAGGAGGGAAATATCCTGCTTCAGTAATGGCACAATTAATCCCTTGAGCCTTAGGGTCTGGGTCTGGACCCTGATGAGCATGATGAGAGCTTTTGGGGTGTCTCCCCCTTTTGGTGCTGCTGTTTCTCTAGAGATGCATTAAGCACCATTTTTACCTCCAGTCCCACTCCTTCCTCTCTCTGGTTTCAGCTGGTAATGCAAAATAAGGTGCTTTTCCTCCATTGTTCCCTTTCTAAAACAAGGGGTTTATATAGTAATTCACCAAATTTATTGCATCAACTCTGTTTAACAGACCTATATGCCTTTACAGTCAACTACAATGCCCTTCCTGAATCAGTAGAAACCAAACAAAAACGTTTAATTAAAGGAATTTAAACAATTGTCTTGTTTGGTTCTAGCAGGAAGTGTTTGGAATATCCTTAAATTGAAACTGAAATGTCCAAAACTTGTGCTGTCTGTAGGGTTGTCCTTGCTGGATTTCAAACCTTTCCATTTCCCAGTGATCAGTTCTGATGGGCTGGAGCAATGCAAATAAATAAAGATGGCAGCATCTTGGATGGTTTCTTACATCCATAAGTGCTTTTTTTTAAAGTAGTTGTGACTTCTAAGTGAAGTCCAGTGTTCTAAAAATGATCAGCAAGATTTTTTTTCTTGCTTTCTTTCTCTCAACATTGGGCAAAAGGGCAAAGATGGATTTGTGAAGTGTAAGCTAAAGGGTGTTTTCCAGTAAGATTTTCTTGTTTTATGTACTCATTCCTGTATTTTCTCTCAGTACTTCCAGGCAGCAGAACCAGCCTCAAGGGCACTATGGACTTACCTCTCCAATTAGCTTGGCTCCTCCTAGTGACAAAGACCACATCCATACTCAGAAGCTGATTGAAGCAATGAAGCCATTTGGGGTGTTTGAGGATGAGGAAGAACTCTATCACAGGTATAACAAGACTAAAATTTGTTAACCTCTTGGTTTTGGATTTTTTTTTTGTTTGTTGTTTTTTGGTTGGTTTTTTTTTATTTTTTAAGCAAACTTAGCATGAGTTTTCTTTACAGGACAACTGTTCTTGGTAAACTGAATAACTTTGTTAGAGAATGGATTTCAGAGCTTGCTGAAAGCAAGGTAAGAGGTTTTTTTTGCTTTTGTCAAAACAGCTGAAGTATTTTGAATTAAAGGCTACGCTCCTGGGATCTGTGCTAAAGTTCAGCTTTTAACTTCTTAAATATCTTAAGTAGAGCTGTAGTAACTGCCACTGAAGTAAGTTGTAAAAGATATTACAAGATCAAGATCTCACAGTCTTTGGGGAACTGAATAAA